CAAAAAAGTGAAAAACCATTCTGCTTTCAGTTTTGATTCCTACCCATTTGCCCACCACTAATTGTTAGAAGCATATTTTGGAGTCTTTTTTTAATGATTTATTTTACCCCTTGAATTATGGCAAATTATCTTTGGAATTATGATAGAGATATTGGAGTATCAACTACTACTACTAAACAAGGTATTAATTAAATTAAAGTGATGCTATTAAAATAATTTTTTTATCTTATTTTTTTATACAACTTTCAATATTATTAATGATACGTTAAGTTATATAAAAAAATGAGAGAAAAATATTATACAAATCTTATTTCCCTTAAATGAATCATAACTCCTTTTTCTTAGAGTAAAGTGTCACCAACGCCATACTTATTAGACCAAATATCAAATTTCACCTCATTAAATTAAATTAATTAAATTCATTATTAACTTGGCCAAAAAAAAAAAGAAAGCCAACTTTCATGACTGGCCGGGTGCTCACTCTAGAGCCCGCTCCTTAATAAGCCTGACCCGAACCCGCAAACAGACCCTCGGTCGCCTGAACCCCCAAAACCTCCCGTTTCAAAATCGGAACATCACCTAATTCAGTCTTTGGAAATCCGATCGACAGTGGGGGAGACAATCGGAGGAAATGTCGGGCTTCCAAGTTCCTTCTTCTTCCTCCTCTGTTCAATCCTCATCTTCATCTCCATTCGCATTTGGATCGTCCACCACCAGCACTGGTTCTGGATTCTCGTTCGGGTCCTCCCCTTTCTCCTCCTCAAACCCTAGCTCCTCTGCCCCTTTCTCCTTGTCGTCGTTCAACACATCCTCCTCTGCAGTCCCCTCAAGTCCTAGCATCGGACTATTCAACTCTTCTTCAGCCTCTCCGTCCTCTTCCTTTTCTTTTGGGGTTAGCTCCGGGCAGTCTGCATCCAGTTTTACTTCGTCTCTGTTTGGTTCATCTTTATCCTCCTCAAGTTCCGCCGCAGCTACTTCAGTGTCAAGTTCGCCTTCGCCATTGTTTAGTGCATCGACATCCTCTTCGCCCTTGTTTGGTGCTGCTTCATCTGCAGCGAGTTCAGGCTCACCCCTGTTTGGAGCGTCATCATCTAGTACAACTACGTCGCCTCTGTTCGGGACAGCTTCTTCTGCTGCGACTTCCGGTCAGTTCCTCTTTGGCGTGTCTTCATCCGCGGGGAGTACGGGCTCATCTTTATTCGGGGCGCCTTCATCCGCGGCGAGTTCTGCTTCCCCTTTACTAGGTACGGCTGTGACTTCATCCCTGTTTGGGGCTTCTTCTACTGCTGCAAGTTCTGGCACATCCTTGTTTGGGGCATCTTCTACCGCTGCAAGTTCTGGCCCATCCTTGTTTGGGGCATCTTCTACCGCTGCAAGTTCTGGCCCATCCTTGTTTGTTGCATCTTCGTCGACTGCAACTTCTGGATCATCTTTGTTTGGGGCAACAGGAGCTCCCCCTGTATTTTCATCTTCAGCAGCAACAACTACTAGCAGTCTGTTTGGGTCCTCCGTTTCTGCTTCATCTTCTACTGCTTCTACAACTGCTGCTACTGCCTCTTTCCCAAACTTGCTCTCATCAAGCTCAGTTTCAAATTCAAGCTTTGCTTCTCCGGCTGCTACAGGATTCTCTTTTGCGGGCACTTCTGCATTTTTGAAGAGCACTTCAACTTCAACATCAACAACTGCCTCTCCTGCAGCTTCTATTTCCTCTACGGGCTTCTCATTTTTATCACCATCATCTTCAGCTTCGCAACCTTCCTCTGCTCTCAGCAATGCAGCTTCTTCTGCAGCTGCTACGGTGTCAAGCACTCCTGCGACATCATCATCATTGTTTTCCACGACTACAAGTGCTTTCACAGCTGCTGCTCCTACTACAAGTGCTTCTTCTGCGTCTTCAGCACCGGCTTTCCCTACTTTTAGCCTGAGTTCCTCTTCTGCTGCTCCTACAGCTTCACTGGCTGCTCCAGCTAGTTCAGCTCCTTCATCTAGCACAGTGACTTCTTTTACTGGTATCAGCACAACTGCTTCATCGGTTTCATCTGGAAGTACTAGTTCTTTCACTGGCTTTTCCTTGTCAACTAAAACAGCAGCTCCCACTTCATCCTTCCAAGCACAATCAACTACTGCCCCTGTATTCAGTGAGTTATTGGTTATTTTTCTATCTTATTTTAATGTTTTAACTTTTTGAATGTTTGAAGTGCCAGTAACTGCTGATATGGCTGTGTTGAAGTACAGTATATATACAATTTTAGTTTTGATGCTTCTGTTCTTTTTGCTCCTTTTGTTCTCAATTTTACTTTTTGCTAAATCTAATTTCTCTTTGGTTTTGACCACTCTCTTCCTAAAGTACAAAGTTTCCTAAAATGGTTCTCGTCTTAGTACTAATGGAAATTCCCATTCTTCCTGCAGGCCTATCGACTCCCAGTTCTGCAGCTTCAGGAACTTCAACGTCCATTACTACTGCTCCCCAGACAACATCATCTCTTGTTGTTGCTTCAAGCAGTGGGTGTGTACAAGCTTCTTGTGGCTAATATTGCTATCCTTTGGATTTTAAATTACATTACTCTTTTCTTCAAATAGTAGTTTCTGGTGCTCTTATCCCCGAATGTTATGTTGATGAATTAATTGACTTTTGAATCTTATTTCGTAATCAATAAGAATCCCATCATATCATATCTTCTGACCATGTTTTCTTGCCATTCCTTCATCTGTTGTTCCTGTTCCTACTTTTATAAAATCACTGGATGGATATAAACGTGAAATTCATTTCAAGATTGTCTTGCATTCATTTGAGTTGAGATTTTACGGAGCCTGTTCACTTTGGAGTGATTTTTACAAGATTTAATATACTGGAATTTTTAGTTAGTTCTTTTAAATTTGAAATTTTCTTCTTTTGGCACTGTTTGTTTTTGGTAGATGTGTGGCAACCTCTTTCTTATTCATGTTCATTTAATGATTCTTTACATAATGAAAACAAAAAGGTATATTATTTCCAAGATTCTCTAAACTATCTTCATTTTTCTCTGCTTGTTATGTAGAACAAGTTCAAGTATTTCAGCTGCAGTATCTGCTACACCGAAGTTGCCTTCAGAGATAACAGGGAAGACTGTTGAGGAGGTATTGTTTTCCTAATTTTCTGTATATTTTCCTTCATAATTTAATATTTTACCTATATGTTTCTTGTCAGATATTTTCTCAGTTCTTTGTCATCATTAAGCTTTTATGTTTTTTGTTCCAACCAAAGATCATCAAGGAATGGAATGCTGAGCTTCAAGAGCGCACTGGAAAATTCCGGAAGCAGGCTGCTGCAATAGCTGAGTGGGATAGGCGGATCTTGCACAATCGTGATGTTCTTCTTAGGCTTGAGGTAATATATCCTGAGATGATATGGAATCATCATATGCAGAAAGTGTTACCATAAAAGTACATGTTCTTCTCCCGCTCTAACTTTTCATTGAGAAAAATACTATTGACTGTAAAAGATTATTTTTTTTTTTTTTTTGGTTCTTTGAACATCTTTAGTTAATCTGGTTGTGTGAATTTCTCCTTTACTACAGATTGAAGTGGCAAAAGTGGTCGAGACCCAAGTGAGCTTGGAGCGCCAACTAGAGTTAATTGAGACTCACCAACAAGAGGTATTTAATATATTTCCCCCTGATTTTTCTGCTGCTATTCTTTTATCGTAACATTCCCTAGGATTTGATATGTAGTGATAGTTATCACTTATCATTGCTCCCACCTGAAAGTGAAGATCCCCTTTTGTAGTCATCATAAATTGTGCAGAGACATAATGCCTAACATGCACCAAATAAACTTTTCCCCTTGAGCGAGAGGTTGGGTTCTTGGCATTTGGTAAAACATGAAACCACATTGTTTGCACAATATTCTTTTTTGACACTCTAGTCTATAGTGTTTGTCTGAGCCTTTAGAAGATCATATGAATGCCTGTAAACTAAAATCCTGGAAGGATCCTCTATCATATTTGGAGTCCTTGCAAAAATTTTTTGACAGTTGATGTGCCAAAATTGCTATTATATAATAAAGTCCTGTTGATTGAAAATGAAAAAATAAGTGTAATGTTTTGTGAATAAATACATCTTTTCCTGTTTATATTGTTAGGTTGACAAGGCCTTGCAAAGTATAGAAGGAGAGGCTGAGCGTATTTACAATGATGAGCGAGGGTTGCTTCTTGATGATGAAGCTGCATCAACAAGAGATGCAATGTAAGAACTAGTTCTTTGACTTTGTCATTGAGTTAGATATAGCATATGGCCGTCTTCAAACTTGAAAGACTTAGCATACAACCCACCACTTTCATCTTCCTTTTCTCTCCCCCCTATATATATTAATTGCCTCTTGAAACTTGGTCTTTGATTTTTCACTTCAGGTATGAGCAAGCAGAATTTATAGAGAGAGAATTGGAGCAGATGACAGAACAGATCAAATCCATTATCCAAAACTTAAATGCCAGTCAGGTAACTGCCTTCTGTTCAATGGTAATAGCTGTTCAAATTAGCTTTCTTTGCAACAGAAAGTCAGAATATGACACAATCACTTTGTTTTAGGGTGGGGACCTAGATGCAATTGATGGAATGACTCCATTAGATGTGGTTGTCAAAATCTTGAACAATCAGCTGAGTTCTTTAATGTGGATTGATGAGAAGGTAAGTTAATCCACGCCCCCCTTCTCCCCTCTTTGGTCTCCTTGGTTGAGTGGGGTTCATCCCATTAATTAGCTAATTTGAAGAATGGAAAGCCAGTACATTTTCAGGGGTGATGGCTGTTTTACTCTCTCTTCGGTGAAATTTAGGTTAAAAGTCATATATATACTGGTCAACCAATGTCTTTTGATTCTTGTTCCCCCTTGTCTTGAGTTTTGGGAAAGACTTGGTATATTTTTCTTTCTGCCCGGATTTTATGAGTATATTTCTGACACAGGAGTTCCATCTGTCTTGCTCTTGCAGGCTGAGGAATTCTCATCACGAATTCAAAAACTTGCCGACCATGGATCTGCAGCAGATCGCGAATTAATGGCTCCAAGATTTTGGATGTCTTAATCCTTGATTGTACCAAGTTTGGATCACTTCAAAGTTGCCTTTTGAGTTTTAACGAACACAGGAAAATGAATGGATATCCATGTGATGTACATTTGTTTGACCGAACATTTTATTTGTGGGAATGATATGCAAGAAGTTTAATTTTTTGATGAATTGCAAGAACAAATTTTGAGATACTCAAATGGGACTGCTAGCTATTTCTTAAATTTACCATCTTCATCAAATGACTTGAAAAGTGAATTAGTCTTTTTTCTTTTTTTTTTTTAAAACGAAAAGGTTGAACTGATTACCCAAGTTTTGAACAGGATAAATAGTCAAAAGGCTTCCGATTCTTAAATTCTACTAACAGGATATTGGGGTATTCATGTTCATGTAATTTCCAAGCACTAGGGACCTAGATGTACAAAGGCATTCTGAAAATCCTAACATGTAATTATTATAGTTTTGCAGGTTTTAATGATCAAGCTCCTTGTACACGAGTTATGACAACAATCAACAAGATGACCATGGAGAGAACCAAAGACGATCTAACAATGTCTTCCAACTGCTCTCTGGAATTATCAGTCCAGTTTTTGCTGTCTTGATCTCGAAACACCTCACTCACAAGAGCTTGTAACTTCAATACAAGTTCCACAACTTTTGCTTTGGCAATATCAAAAATCCAATTCAGAATTTTCGCAATGAGGTCTGGATCCACTTCGATCTCAGGGTAGTCGAGCTTCTCCCCTTTTTCAGCTGCAAGAATCAGAAGATCCAGCAATAGAAATAGAGCCAATAATCTCCATAAAAAGAAAAAACAATGTTGTAGACAATACACATATGACAGACCTGGAATAGGTGACTCACAAAGCTTCCGAACCATCTCGTTGTTCTTGATGGCATCCCAAACTGCTTTATCGGATGATAATGAAACCACCAGCCGCTGCATATTCACATCCCCATAATCATATGGTTAAACAGAAACCTGAACAAAAATATAATTAGAAGCAGATTTACAAATTAAATCAAATTGGAGGCACCTTGAAAGATTGCTGTGTCTGCATCAAGCGGAAAACATGAAAAATTCTACCGCCTACGTTACAAAGCCATTTCAATTCTGGTCCAGGTGAAGAAACTCCCCCCATGAATCTGGTAATTAGTAACAATCACTCAAAATAAACATATAGGAAAAGAGTCCAGAATTATATATACTATATGGATAGAAGGAGGAATCACTCACTTCTCTAGAGAAGATACAGCGTTTTCTACTTCGATTTTGGACGGAACAGGCCCCAACCCCAGGGTTAATCTATCTGCCGTTCTACGAATTTGAGTGCGACAACAAGAGCAACTAGTAGGAGGAGGAGGAGGAGGAGGAGGAGAAGAGGAGTAGGATTCAAAAGGGGCGGAATGATTAGCTGAGACTGGAAGGTTGAGGTTGCTAGGATGAGGATAAGCAGAGGGATATTGGAACTGATTCAAAGGAAAATCAAAATGCATAGTTCCTCTTTCCATGCTTTTCTTTTTGCCTTCTTCCTTGTTTCTTTTGCTTGTATAGAATGGATGAGGAATATTTTGGCTGAGATATTTGCGTTTCACTTTGTCCTCTTATATACTTACTATTAGCGTTGGGGTTTGAGTCTAAATTCTAAACAGCCCTACATTATCAACTCTAGTAACATCTTAAACCCTAAACCCAAATTCTAAATCATATAAACTTGCCTTTCACGTCACTTGAGAAGATATTAACTACAAAAATTTAAACCAAAGTCCAGATATATAATTAGCAATTAGGAAATAAAATTTTATAATTTAATTTTAGTACAAATTTCATTTTTAATTGGATATTCGATTCTGAATCAGGATTTTTTTTTTTTGTAAATATAAAATTTTTTAATTACCATCTTATGACGCTTTTTAATGTAAAGCAACAATTATACACATTATACTACTTTGACAAAATCTGTTAAAAAAATGTAAAATCTCAACTTCTATATCTTTAATTAAAATTGACCTCACAACAAAACTCATATTAAAATAGTCAAATTCCGAAGTAAATTAGAATTTAACAATTGACATTGATTAAAAAGTATTTTTATAGACACATTGATTGAGTTTCATAAGTTAGTTATTAAATATATTTATTATCTTAATAATAATTAAAATTTGAATAATGACACTACCATATTAAAATTGCCTATTTTCTTACTCCTAAATTGTACTTGTTAAGGGGGGGGGGTGTTGGATATTTACAGCGTACAAACGATTCTGAAATTCAGTGCATAAAAAATTTAAAACTTTTAATCATGTTTCTTAACGGTAACGGGCCGGGTTGCTTTTTAATGGGCCATTCCGCAATGAAGTGAAGCCAGTCCAGGTCGTCCAGTTAGAAAATCGAAATATGAGAAAAACGACAACGTTATAGGCTATGAGGGAAAAAGGCGAGGTCAATCAGGAAGAGGAAAGTCTGGATTTGTTTGCCGCGTTTTCTCCTCATTTGATGCTTCATTACATTCATCAGAAAACGGGAGCATCAATTTCCGATACTGGGATCAGATGGCCGACGGCAAGACTCCATTACATTACGTACGGCTGAAGAAGGATCAAGAAGATATCACCCCTGGAGAACTCAATCAACCCGTTCAAGATGGAGTTCGAGGCAAAGACGGTGTTGGTGCCAAGATGGATTCCATGGATTTGGAGAGAGAGAAGGGTATCACCATCCAGTCTGCAGCCACTTATTGCACCTGGAATGGTTACCAGGTCTGTTGTGTTCTTCCTGCTGGATTGTTGATGAAGTCTGCTGGGGTGGGCAAAACCGGTTTCGGTTCAAAACCGAAACCGATTTTGAATTAACCGAAAAAATTCGGTTTTAATTTTGTAAACCAAAACCGAACCGAAATTGTTATAAGCTAATCGGTTCGGTTACCGATTTTTATCAATGAATTTGGTTCGATTTCGGTTTTTATTAAATAAATATTAAATAATTATTTTTTAATAATAAATTATATTTTATCACATATTTTATCATATTTTATTATATTTTATCATATTTTAATATATTTTATTTATTTTATCCTAATTTCAGTTTTATTTTTGGTTTTCGGTTTTTAAGAGACTCAACCGAAATCAAACCAAAATATATTTGGTTAATATCGAAACCAAAAAAATAAAACCGAAAACCGTTGAACCAAACCGAATTCATTTTTTCGGTTCGGTTAAAAAATGCCCAGCCCTAAGTCTGCATGACAAGTTGAATTTTGTTAGAAATACGTTGAAATATTCCACTTTTGACTTTAAAGTTGGAGGAAGAAAATGTTATAGTTCGATTTTGGGATAGAACAAGTATTTATTGGAAATGATGAGTTTCTTGAAATTTTTTGTATTGGTCTAATCAAAATTATTGCTGATTCCGTATGGTTTCATGGTTTCTATTCTGCACCTTGGATGTGTTATTGCAGATTAACATAATTGACACTCCTGGTCATGTTGATTTCACCATTGAAGTTGAGAGGGCTTTTCGAATCCTTGATGGTGCTATTCTTGTCCTCTGTAGTGTTGGGGGTGTTCAAAGTCAGTCCATCACTGTTGATCGGCAAATGAGAAGATACGAGGTTTCAGGACTTGCATTTATTAACAAACTTGATCGAATGGGAGCAGACCCATGGAAAGTTCTGAACCAGGTTCGTTTTGAAGTTATATTATAACGGAAATTGTTATAGCCCCTTGAAATTTTCTTGTTTCTGTGTGTTTTCAACTTGCAAAGAGGAGGTATAATATTTCGGTGGACCCTTGCTTTGTTATTCAATTATTTTCGGTCATGCAAGTTCAACAACAGTGAAGGAACACTGGCTAATTATGCTTGCATAATTTTTATGTTGGACATAATTTACTCCTAAATGATACTTTCGAGAGTTGAGATTTAGATCTTCATCAGTGGACTGATAATGGTGTCTGCTTTCAGGCAAGGTCTAAGCTTCGGCATCACAGTGCTGCTGTGCAAGTTCCTATTGGGTTGGAAGAAGATTTCCAGGGCGTTGTTGACCTTGTGAAGTTAAAAGCGTATTATTTTCATGGTTCCAATGGTTCTGTTCCAAAATCTCTGGGGTTTGCTAAACTTCTTCAATTGTATATCTTTTTTTAATTTTTCATTGACTCATTGTTTCCCTTTTGCAGGGAAAAAGTTGTAACTGCTGAAATACCAGCCAACATGGAGGCCCTGGTTTCAGAAAAGAGGCATGAACTAATAGAAATAGTTTCCGAGGTAGACGATTAGCTTGCTGAAGCATTTCTTAGTGATGAGCCTATTTCATCGGCAGATCTTGAGGTGTGTTGGCAAAATGATCCTTAAAAGAAACTTAGTTATTAGATGTTTGCGGCTTTGTCCTAAAGTCTAGGATTCAATTTCTGAGTAGGAAGCAATTCACAGGGCAACTGTAGCACGAAAGTTTATACCTGTATTCATGGGCAGTGCATTCAAAAACAAGGTAAGCTTTCATTTATCTATTTTTCTTCTTTCTGTGGTCCTTTTTCAGTTCATGGTACGGTAAACCATAAGCAGGATATGGATTGTAATAATCAATGGTACCATTTGGGTATTTCTGCAATTGACAGATGTCTTTTTAATGCCTTTTCTTGGAAGCAGGGTGTACAACCAGTACTCAATGGTGTCCTCAGTTACTTGCCTTGTCCAGTTGAAGTCAGCAACTATGCTCTTGATCAAACAAAAGATGAAGAGAAGGTGCTTAACCAATAGAAGTTTTACCCTCTGCTTCCCACTGTCCAAGACTCCCGCCCAATATTGTTGAAACACATTGAAAACCCTTTTATCCTTTTTCTGATTCTTCTGTAGGTTATGTTGTCTGGGAGCCCAGATGGACCTCTTGTGGCATTAGCTTTTAAGTTGGAGGAAGGGCGGTTTGGTCAGTTGACATACCTAAGGTATGCATAAGGTTTGCACAGCTTGTCACATTTTTTTTCCATTGATCTTCTTTGTTTCATTGGCGTCAATGTCACCTCTATTCTAAGTTTTGCTTTTGTTGATTAAGAATCTATGAGGGTGTGATTCGAAAGGGTGATTTCATTGTGAACGTAAACACTGGCAAGAAAATTAAGGTGAGTTAAAGGCAACTAAAGGCTAAGCACTTTATTAATGCAAGGGTCCTAAATTATGCTTGGCCCAACTTCTTATTTTCTTAATGCTATACCTTTCTGGCAGGTGCCTCTGTTGGTTCGGATGCATTCAGATGAGATGGAGATTAGATGTTACTTTCAATTACTATTTTTAGTTACGAAAATTGTTGGACCTTTCAATTTTCTAAAACATATTTCAAGTACTTAAATACAGTCCCATGTCTTATGATAGAGTGTTGTACTTTGCCATGGTAATAGTCTGCTCATTTAATGTTGCTTCTTCCCATTTGATTTGCCCCAGGACATTCAAGAGGCACATGCAGGGCAAATAGTTGCAGTATTTGGTGTAGATTGTGCTTCAGGTCTCTTTTTTTTGCATATGCTTATAATTAAATACAGCATGCTGTCTCTTTTATGATGTTAAAAAATTTAAGGAGCTTGAGGACATGAGTGTCCCAACAGAAGGGAAAATATTAAAGAAAACATTGATAGACCCAAATAAAAAGGGTCTTCAAACCTTATTCCCTAGCATAATTAAGACAGCTATTGAATAGCAGAAGTTGGAATTTGTTTCATGTTGCAGACAAAGGGTTAAGGGCCTTAACCCTTAAGGCATAATAATCCATGTTATTGATGTTTTTACTCCTATCCTTAAGATATTCAGTTTTTATCAAAAAATGTTCTTCATAAACTGTTTTAAACCCTTTTTTTTTTCTGTGTTCAGGGGATACATTTACGAATGGGTCTGTCAGGTACACCATGACTTCTATGAATGTTCCTGAGCCAGTGATGTCATTGGCTGTTCAACCAGTCTCAAAAGATTCTGGAGGACAAGTGAGTGGTTTCTGTTTCTATAGCTGTTTCTAAATGCAGAAAAATTTCCTTAGCCTATACTGACAGTTAATGGATGAATTTTATGTTCTTTGGAACTAGTTTTCAAAGGCTTTGAATCGTTTTCAGAAGGAAGATCCTACATTTCGTGTTGGCTTAGATCCTGAGAGTGGTCAGGTCCAGTGTACAAGATTGATTTTTCATTTATCCTTAAGAAACAACTTTGTTTTGCATTATGATGACTTGTAATTTTTTTGTGAGCAGACAATTATCCCTGGAATGGGAGAGCTGCATTTGGACATATATGTTGAACGCATCCGAAGAGAGTACAAGGTTTCAAACTTATTCCTCAATTAAGCATGTGAAAACAAGGGTTTTTAAAAGTTAGGCTTGAAAATAATACCCACCCACTGGATTTACCAATATTTACTCAAACAGGTTGAAGCAACCGTTGGAAAGCCTTGTGTTAATTTCAGAGAGACAATTACTCAACGTGCTGAATTTGATTATTTACATAAGAAGCAAAGTGGAGGACAAGGTCAATATGGAAGAGTAATTGGGTAAATAAAGGCTAAACCAGGCAGATATATCAAATGCTAAGTTTATTTCCAGGGCTTCCTAATTTGGTATTTTTCTAACAAATTATGATCTGGCAAAAACAAAAAAAAAAGATAATGTAATTTTATGTGGAGGTTATTGCTATCATGTCAGAATTCTTGGTGAGCTCTCAAATTGGTTTTTGGCACAATTTTCTGGGCTTGCACTTGCTTCTTGATAATAAGATGCTTTTGATTTCTTACATTTGTAGGTATGTTGAACCACTTCCACCTGGGTCCCCAACTAAGTTTGAATTTGAAAACATGTTAGTGGGACAAGCTATTCCATCGAGTTTTATTCCTGCAATTGAGAAGGGTTTCAAAGAAGCTGCAAACTCGTGAGTAGCTTTTGTACCCCTACCATTATCACCCCAGAAGTTAAAGAAGATGTGTTTATTATGTTACTAAGACTTCAATTTACTGTGATTATGAATTAATTGATGGTTTGTTATATGTCCAGGGGTTCATTAATTGAACACCCAGTTGAAAATATCCGTGTTGTGTTGACAGATGGTGCATCTCATGCTGTGGATTGCAGTGAACTTGCATTTAAGTTGGCTGCAATATATGGCCTTCTGACAGGTCCTTATTGTATCTTTTCTTCTGGGATGATTTCTCCTTTGTATGATGTATTGCTTCACAAAAACTGCTGGATTTCTCACATGTCAATTGTGATACAGTGCTACACGGCCGCAAAGCCTGTGATATTAGAACCTATTATGTTGGTTGAGTTGAAAATCCCAACAGAATTTCAGGGCACTGTGGCTGGTGACATTAACAAGTAAGCTTTTCATTCTGCTGTTACGTGAATGTCACTGGGGCTTCCTCACCAAACTTTAGAATCTTATAATGTTCATGCTACCTATACTGCAGGAGGAAAGGTGTTACTGTTGGAAATGACCAAGATGGAGATGACTCCATAATTACTGCCCATGTAAGTTAAATTTTCTTTCCCTTTAAAGCAGTTTCTAGCTCTTTGCTATGCTGCTGTAATTAACAGCATCATGAATAAAATCATCTTCATGTTTAACTTGTCAACATCATGATATTCAATTATTCTGTTACTCTTCTTCAGACATAAAGCTCAGATCATTTCTTGTCTTCCAGGTCCCTTTGATCAATATGTTTGGATATTCAACAGCACTTCGTTCAATGACACAGGTGAAGCCTAAAATCATGAGTAAAATACGGATGTGATTACCCAGCCTCTTTTAGTTTCTCTTAATGCATTCTGTTGATGCTTATTCTGAGCAAGGCAAAGGTGAATTTACTATGGAATACCAGGAACACTCGCCTGTATCTCAGAATGTGCAGATGCAATTAGTTAACACTTACAAGGCCGAAAAGGCATCAGAATAATTGGGTGCCATCGAAGGCCGAAGAGCAAACAAATCCTCCAATTCTTTTCTAAGTTATGTAGCTTATTGGCATATTCAATACCTCCAAGTTCCATAACTACATTTAATTGGGGCATTTACTTTTAGTCTTGTATTGATAAATTATTTTTTGAAAAACAAGAACGAAACCGCCATAAAGTATACTCTCACGGTTTCTCAAGAACAATGTTCAATGATAAAGAACTTGTTCTCAAATTAATGGAACTAAAGCTTTTTGTTGAGAGTGCTTAATTATTTACCGCATATTTTGATTCAAATAAGTATTATTTTCTATTCAAACCGTAGACCAGGAATAAGATTACTAGCCCAAGTCTCAACATCTGAAAATGCACTATGACTAGTTAAATGCTTCTCGCAGTTTTGTAGGCAGCTCTAGATCAGGTTCAGATTCGCTTAGGGGTGAGAAATATTGATCCACCATGTCTTGGGACACTTGCTCCAACCTTGGAGGATCCCACTGCATAATTGATGCAACCCCAAAACATATTAATTCCTTAACAGAAAACAACTATACTTGTTCATCATTTTTACAAAGGAAAAAGGGAAAAATGATACCTTTGGTGCAAGGTCCTTATCCACCATACGTGCTCGTACCCCCTAAAAACGAATTGAAAAAACAAATTTATACAATAAAAATTATAGGAATAAAAAAAAAAAAAGTATTTAGTACAATATAGAGAATGTTCCATACCTCACAAAAGTCACTTGAGACTTGCTTAGATATCCCTTGCAGGGACATTCTATACTCACGAATTAGGCACTGGTCAAAGGTTTGAAATCTGCCTTCTCGTATCTGAAGCAGTCAAAAACATAGCTCAGGTAATAAAACATGGATTTTTCCCATTAGGTAAAAGAGAAAGGACAATGACAGTGTATAGAAAACTCACAGATTTCAGGGAAACCTTCAAACTCAATGGGGAGGCTTCTCTAAGCCTTTTTAGCGTGGAATTGCACCATGCATCATTTGTTGCAGATGCCTCAGATTCCTGACAAAAGCAGTAATTTAAAACTTTATTATAGCTTCGATTTTCTGTTTTATGCATCACAGAAACATCATAATCCCCTCTTGGCTGAACATTTATAAATATGAAAGAAAATATATAATTTAACAAAATAATATACCGGGAATTTAAAAAATTAGAAAAGTTATCATGAGGCTACCAAGGAATCAATAATTTCTTCAACTGTGTCATGCTTAAAACATCTATCTAGTGTTTCAATCCTGCAAAAACGAGACTGGAAAAGATAAGATACTTAAAATAATAAACATTGATCTCAAAAGAATATGATAAAGGCATTAAGCATAAACTTGTAGTTTGCTTGTTTCCTTTCAACAGAACAAACTAATTTCTTAACAAGGTGGCGGCCTCACATATGAGAACACAAACCTGCGGAGTGCACTAATCTCCTCAGGATAAGCAATGTCACTATATTTTTCCAAACAAGTTTCAATGACAGAAGGATCATCAGTGATTAATTTCCCAAGATGTTCTTCAATCAATGGAAGACTCTGTCATAAAACATTTCATAAACATTTCAGTGCGAGAAAAGTTACTGTTGTTAAATGACCCAGAATTAAAAATACATTAGAAACAAACCAAGACAAGGACCAAAGAGAACTAACTTCAGTCTGAGAATAGTGGGTAGCAAGCCCACAGGCAAACATTTCAGCTGCACTGAGTTTTTCTCCAGTCAAGGCTAAGTATTCTCCTGCAAGCAAGAAAACATTTCATAAATACAATGTAAATAAGTGAAAACAAAATCAAACTATGTATTAAACTTGAGAATAAATTGTTTCCCAATGTTTATGTGAAAAAACATGTGTATTATCGCAAAGAATACCTAAGTGACCAGGTAGATGTGAGAGGTGGAAAGATGCACCAGCATCAGGATGGAATCCAATCTGACTTTCGGGGGTTGCAAATACCTGAGAACTGCAAGGATGAGTTCCTGACTTTCCAAACGTCAAGCTAGTTTCAAGTTATGAAGTAGCAATACTCTACTTGACCATACAATTTTCTTGAGTACTAACAACTACTTCAGAAATAAAAAGGAAGAATGAAAAAATGAATTCAGAAGGCTTAAAAGACTGCACAAAGTGAATAAAAAAATGGATAAAGAACATATTATAACAGTTAGAATTGCAATGATAGGGATGATAACATATGCGGAAAAAAGAATAATAACAAATATATTCCTGTAACATGCAGTTCTACCAGCTGCAACATATGCGGAAAAAAGAATAATAACAAATATATTCCTGTAACATACAGTTCTACCAGTTGCAACTCGAAATGTCCCAGGTATTGAAACTCCAGCACCTCCACCCATGGTAATGCCATTTAAGAGAGCCACCTAGATAAGATTACAATGTACTAAATTACAAGTCACTAATATGAAATGAACAGTAGAACACACCATCCCTTTCCCACATAGCACCATAAAAAAATTAAAAATCATACTCACATGTGGCTTCAAATATGTTCCAAGGTGATAGATAAAACTATATAACGTCCTAAAAAATTCCTTGCACTCTTCTACCTTCCCTGTATTAAGAATTGTCAAGAACCAATGATCAACTCAGCTGAAAAAACAAAAGCAGGTTACAGTTACAAAGTTAACCAAGAAATCAAGTCTAGGATGCATTTTAACCATGTTTAATAAGGTTAAGGGCTGTGAACACCAGATTAGTGATTTCTACTTTTAAGGCCAATTTGTCCCAATTACAATTTATAAAGAATAGGTTAATATAGATGAAAAAACTATGCAAATTATTGAAGAAGTAATAGCAAAAGCAATTTGGGGGGTTTGGTCAACCAGGTCTTACCTTCATTTATCAAATGGTAAAGGGAAACAATATCTCCACCAGCACAAAATGCTCTGCCACTGCCCTTCAAATTTCAAAATGGTGTGATTAAAACTAAAAAACATCCAGAATGAAGAAAAACAATTTGAAGAAACTAACAACTGAGAATTACCTTCATCACCACAAAACCAATATGAGGATCTTGCTCCCAAGACGAATACAATTTATGCAACCTAGCACCCTGTAACGGGTCAAAACATAAACTTTTCTAACAGGTGACATTCAAGCACAAAAACCCAAATACAGAATCTCTAGCAGAATCCCAGAAACATGGAAAAAGGAACTGACCATGTTAGTACTAAGAGCATTAAGAACAGAGGGTCTGTTGAGAATTGCCGTTCGGGAACTGCCTTTACCCTCAACCAGTATCTGAAACGTATAAATGTAATCTTTAGCAGAATTAAGATGAAAGTGAGGAATCAAAAGGAGAGTAAACGGAGGAGTGACCTGATTCTGAAGATCGTCAGCGGAAGCATTGATAGGAAGAGAGCAGAGGCTCCTTGTCCACCGTGAGAAACTGTAAAGACTGCACCTTTTCAGCAAAGAATTCACACTCTTCATTTCTCAGTTTGTGATGAACAAGAAGCCACCTTCTGTTCTTTTGGCCGTTCCCAACCAATAGTAGATGGTTTTCAATTCAAGGTTTCAATCCCACCCCTAAAAAATTAATCTTGGGCGCTTGTCCATAAGGGCTGTTTGGTAGGCAGAGATTTGCCCCAGGACAATTTCCGTTACATGGTAATTTAATTAATTATACCTTCGTATTATGGAGTAACAGTATTTATTTATCTTATTTTTTAAAGATTAAGAGAAATGTAATTTTAAAATTACGTTATTTTAATAAATACTTATTAAAAAAATTAAAATATCTTATTTTAAGGTATAAATTACAATATTTTTGTCATTTTTCTTTTTAACTTTTTGAAAATAAGACAAATAAGTATTAATTTCATATTATAATAAGATAAAAATAAAAATAATATTTTTATTACGTTATTTTAATAAATACTTATTAAATTAAAATATCTTATTTTAAGGTATAAATTACGATATTTTTGTCATTTTTCTTTTTAATTTTTTGAAAATAAAACAGATAAGTATTAATTTCATATTATAATAAGATAAAAATAAAAATAATATTTTTATTTTTTATTTTTCTTATTATAATTCCCAATGGATAAATTTTTTTCTTATATTTTTCTAAGTGAAAATGTTTTCTTTTTCCTCAACTTTCTTGATGTGAAATCACTTGACAATTTTTTTTAAAATTTTTTACTAAATTTAAAAAAATTAAAAATATAATAAAATTCTAATAAAATATCATTATAAAACATATTAACTTTTTAAATATTATTTTTCAATTTTATACACAATACTTTTCTGATAAAATTAATATCTAACTAAATATGACCTAAAAGTAATAGAGATTTAGCAAAATCAAGATGTCTTACTAATTAAGATAATATCAAGAATAATAATAAGGTAAATATTAGATTTAGTTCCAACTTTTAATATAAATATTAGATATTATTTTGACTTTTTATTTAAACTAGAAATAGTCTCAAACCTTTTTAAAATTATCAAATTTAATCCTACTGTTGGTCACTTCCATTAAATTTATAATAAAAAATCTTAATTAAAATTATACAAAGCCACAAAAACCCTTAAATAGAAAAATATATATATTTTTGGAAAACTCCAAAAAAACATGTTTTATTTATATATCTGTTTATTTTTGCCTTTTACTTAATGCAAAATCCCTTCCTTCAATAGTAGAAACTTTTAACATAACTTAATAATTTAACAATATAATAAATTTCATAACCCAAATATTTTTTTAATTGCAAATTATTTATCATTTAAATTACTATTTTATAAAATACATCAAAAAAATATCTCCGAAAAGAAGAGTTAAGGTGGGTAAGTAATCTACTTTTAGTAAAAATAATTTCAGGATAATGAAAATTAAAAGAAAAATCATGTAAAAATTTCTATTAAACCTCCTACAATTTTTAGTTAATATTCCCTTTCAAAAATTAACAAAGTAACTAGTTTTAGGATTAAGTTTAATAATTTTGAAAAGGTTGAAAACTATTTTTGGTCTAAATGAAAGGTTGAGATAATATCTAACATTTATAATAAAGGTTGAAAACTAAATTTGGTATTTATTCAAGATAACAAAAGACTAAAATAAGATTTAATGAGGGTATTTAAAAAAATTTACATAGAATATGTAGGCATTTAAATAATTTCACAAAAAATTATAGTATTTTTAATATCCTTAATTAATTAATACATAAAAAAAAGATTTTTAAAAATATTGAAATAATTTTATATAAAAATTATAGCATTTTAAATATTAAAATATCTTGATTTTTATTTTTATTTTTTAAAATTTAATACTCTAACAACTTAAAATATTTATTTGTCTAATAATATTAAAATTATTTGTATTTTTATTTATTTAAAAATAATAATAATATATTATAAAAAAATAAAAATAAATAAACTTTTTATTTAAATTCAAAAAAAAAAATCTAAAACTCCAACTACGATAAAAACAAAGTCGAATAAAGGAAAAAAATGACGGCTCATGGAATTGTTTGTATTGTGCTGACCATAAAATCACATCAGATCAGCCCAAGTATAGGTTTTCTTTCCAGCCCATTAGGCTCACTCCAATGAACCAGGTCTATATATAATAATCTATTAAATAAACTACAACTGTTAAAAGGCCAGCCTCCGCGGCCCATTAAGTTTCCCCTACTTTATTTTCGTTCTCTCTCCTTCCATCATCGCCTATCTCTTTCCTCAATTGAGAATTTTCCAAAGACTTTGGAGGGAAGCTCAGCTTCTGCGTGCAGCGAGGCCGTAGCAGTACCAAGAACACGGCAATCACAACCTCTCCTTAAAAAAGGGTAAAGTGATTCTTTTTTGGATTGCATTTTTGTTCTGTTTTCTTAAAAGGGTCATCGTGCAAGACATGGATGAGAATATGAACCAATTCCAGCAAAGCTTGATTATGCTTGAAACCGAAGCTGAGCATCTGCTTTTAGCCCGCCATGAGGTCAGTTGGAGAATAAAGTTCATCTTTTTTCCCCCTTCCTGAGAAAATTTGTCAAAGGGAACAGCTCATTTGAATTCGTATCTTCAACCATTGTGGCAAATTGTTGGGATGAAAGTCAAAATGTGAAATTAACAGACTACCTTGCCTCGTTCAGGTGGTTACAAATATTTTTCCTAATCAAGTTTTAATCTTGTGAAATTTGGAATAAATTGTTGTTCTGTATTGTAAACTTCTATGTTAAATTTAGTTAGGGCTTAGGAAAAAAGGGATAACTGGTATTTATTTCAAACACAGCTGGTTGAAAATGACAAAATGAGGAATGGAAACAGGGAGGCACTTACAGCACTGAGGAGGAGAGCTCGGACAACAAAAACTAGTGTTCCATCCCCTTTTGAGTCAATAATGAAGGACATTGGGGGACCTGGATCCAGATCATTGGTAAAGGAGCTTTGTGCAACCTGTGGCAATCATGACTTAAATGAGCCCACATGGATGATGTTCCCTGGAACTGATATGTTTGGAAACATCCCATTTCATGCTTCTCACACTATTTTGGACACAGGTTTGAACTGCAAGTGCTCAAAACATGTTTTTCTGTTATTACAACATTTTTATCATTGTTCCCGTTGCCAATACAACTATATTTGCTCCAAAGGAACAGTGGTTTTAATTAGAGCATGTCTGTAGAAGTCTGTTGGGGATTTATTGTCAGAAAACCTTTTTTTCCAAAGTGTCACTATTTACTTTCTTGTCATTCAGAGCAAGCACACCTTGACTATGAGGCAAAGAAACTGCAAAGCTATGTCAAAGAGAAGTCATTTTTAATATCAGAAAAGGGAGTTCTTGCTGATAAGATCAGTCCAGGTGTGCTCAGATCCTTAGTAACCTTAGCAGACAATCCAAAGTAAGTGCATTAAGTCCCAGATTGTATGATTGAATCCATTTTGCATTTGAGGCAACAGCTGATAGGGCTGCCAGCTGCAGTGCTAATATCAACAGACAAAGTGATAGACGAGATGGGAGTTGTCTTTGCTATATGTCATGATATATATTCAGCACTCTAATATTTAGAACACCTATGGTCTGGCTTTAATATGCATTTGCTCACAGTTGGCTGCCATTCTATTACCCATACTTTGTTTTTTTCTTGCTTTTGAAATGTGCATCTAGGATGGTTGTTTTCTTCTCATCAATTGGAATAACTTTGCTTAGTCTGTTGTTTCCTGTAACTCTTTCTGCACAAGGTTCTGTTATAACTTATATGATCCATATTGTAGCTTAATATGTTTAGTTTGCTAGTCTTTCACATGTACTACTAGTCTTTCACATGTACTACCACAATCATTAGCACATTAGGTTACATGTGTCCTCTATCTTTGCAGTCAATTGAGTTGTTCCTGCAGTTGTCATTCCCTTTTTCACATTGATACAATGCATAGCCTCATAGAAGGAAGGTGTTGATTCAGGGACCATTTTGATTTCTATCAAAAGAAGTGTGGAACTTTCGTAGGGACTGTTTAACCAGTTGAAGATGGCGCATAGCACCCTTGCTTTCTTCCTTTCAAGTTTCAAGTGGTCCTGTTTTTCCTGTCCTCATGTGGTCCTCCTATTCAATTCTTACCCCCCCCCCCCCCCAGAAAAAGAAAAAGATGGAAAAGGTTATATTGCCTGAGCTGGCATGAATGCAACAAGTATACATTTCATTGCTTTATACATGAAACTTTTAGATTGTTTCAGACATGGTTATTCGTGATAGTCTTTCTTCATAAGTTGCAAATCCAGTTTCATCACAGGTTGATTACTCTTTTTATGTGACTACGTTGGATGTATTGCTTGTCGCCCATTGCCATTGATGTGGATTCTAGTCGCAGTTTATGCATTGACTGACCATTAGAATTGTTTGCATTGCAAAGAGTTAGCATCCAATGAAACCTTTTGAAATGCTTGGAATCCCTCAAATGGATCTAAAAGATCATCAGAAACAGCTTCCTCAGTTTATCAATTTGTACCATGATTGACATCAGGGGGCTTTTGCACTTTGACAAATGGTGTCTTTACTGTCTATCATGGAACAAAAAACTAGTGTAACTGCCTGCAGACTTGCTTCAAATGAAGGTTGAGGATGAAATTTTTGGTTTTTTCTTTATGGATGTGATTTTAAAAAATAAAAATAAAAAATTGAACATCTTCACTGTTGATATTAGTTTTGCCAAGCTAGACTGTTCGCTCAAGCTTATTTCTTGAACTCTTAAAGGTAGTGTTCCAAATTGTTAAAAACCATTTTTTTTTGAAAAATAATTTGTTAAAAACTCAAGATTCTAATTTAAAGATTTTATGACATTAAATGGAGAGATTTAAAACAAAATGTGAGTTGTTCTCTTGTATAAATCATCATTAAATATATATAAATATAAGGCTTAATTTAATTTTTAGTCTATTAACTATCACTTGATTTTATTTTAGTCTAGAAACTATGTTTTATTTCTAAGTGGTTTATTAACTTTCAGATTCATTTCAATTTCGTCTACTTATCAAAGATAACGGAAAACTTCCTTGGAGAACAGTTAGTTCTCTAATTATATTTTTTTGATCTTTTAGTCCTTAAATTTATATTTGTTATAAAAATAACTTTTTTACTTAAAATTATTATTTATAACCTCTGATATCAGATTTTCATACGAGTTTTCCTATTTTTTTAATTTGGTATCAAAGCCTAAAAGTTAATAAACCACTTAGAAATAATAATTTTAAGTATAAAAATCTAATATCAGAACCTAAAAATAATAATTTTAAGTATAAAAACTATTTTTATAACAAATATAAATTTGAGGATTAAAAGATAAAAAAAATATAGTTAAAGGACTAACTGTTCTCTAAAGTTTTCTGTTATCTTTGACCAAGTAGACGAAATTGAAATGAATTTGAAAGTTAATAGACTACTTAGAAATAAAACATAGTTTCTAGACTAAAATAAAATTAAGGTGATAGTTAATAGACTAAAAATTAAATTAAGCCATAAATATAAAGAAAAGGTTATTTCTCCAAGTGAATAAGTTGGGGGGCTTAGATTTAATTGCCACGGGCATTTCCCTGTTGTGGTCCATTGGTGGTCACTGCAATGCCCTGTTATGGTCCATTAGTGGTCACTGTAACCTAAAAGAATTGTCGGTGAATCGCACCTTGATCAGTGATCAAACTGTGCCATAAGTAAAATACTAACTTAATTTCTAACTCTTAACTCTTAAGCATTACCCCTGTTAAAAAAAAAAAAAAATTGTCAAAGAAAAACTGACTCAATTATCAACATTTAGAGCCATCTGCCCCTTGTTGGCCGGCTGGCTAAACACCTGTTTTAAATTGCCATTTTCACCAACATAACGTTAATTCAAATCTCTTTTAATTCCTAAAATTTGTACTTAAAAAAAAAATTATCCACATTTAGAAGCTGTTTACGGAATAATAACAACAAAACTGTTCCTTTACTATACTGTTCATGGAAATAAGTTTCTGGGTAAGTAGTGGACCTTCCGTACACAAGAGTCAACGTCGGTGTCAGGCTTCCACCAAATGCCAGGATGCCACCAGACTCCTCTCTCCTCTCTCTCTCTCTCTCCCGTTGGCTTTTTCAGACAGCCGGGCAATGCCCTCCTCCACCTTTACTTTTCTTGTACACAACCTCATCCATTCGTATACAAACCCACTCTACTCGCTTCGCCGACGACACACATGTAGTTCTGTACTTCCCTGCCCTCCGGCAATATCGAACTTCGACCCCATAAAATCCAGCGCGTGGAGAAGTTGGATTGACGTGTGTGAGTAAAGATAATGCTGGCCGTATATAACCAAATTAGTGGCGACACCGAATAATACATCGTACGGTGAAGATACGATCGTCTTCTCTATCCAGTCCCTCCTCGCCGAATTACCCTCATCTTCCTCTCTATTTACATAAAATGCCCCTCTTCTCTCCTCGTTTGTTCTTATATTTTGTAGGAGCTTAAAAAACTAAAATTTTCTTATAAATTTAAAATTTTGTTTAAAAATTCAATTTTACGTTAAGTTTTTTTAGGAAGTTTTCAGATTTTTTTTAAAAAAAATTACTTTAAAAGGTAATTTAAGCACTATCTTTTCGACATCCAACAAACACCCTCTTAAAGTGAAACTGCCCCTCTCTTCCACTCAATATTTTTCTTTTTTCAATCTCATTTAATTTTTCGTTGAATTTTATAGTTCAATCCGAATGCTCCTATAAATTTTGCATCAATTATTGGATGTGATGATGAGACTACAAATGGATGGACTTATGGGTGCATTTTAATTTCAAAGTCATGCACGTGCAATATTATTGCCCTATAAGTTAAAGCAACAAAGAAAAAGGTCTCATGATAAGCAACGAAGAATAATTTATCATGAATTTACAAATTAATCTAATTCCTTTGTTAATTTTTTTTTTTAATTCTAATATGAAATTCTTCTTATTAGAATGAACTCAATTATTTATATGAGGTCATCTCTTTCTGCTATAAATAAAAGATTCTGAATTCAAATCGTATGATATACGGGTGAAATAAAATAAAAGATAAAAAATTATTGTTTTTTATCGTACAATTAAGATAAAAATAATAAAAAAACCTAAAAAGAAAAAAAAAAGGAAAGAGAAGAAAAAAAAATTGCAGGGAAAAAAAATAAAGGTTGAAACTCTTTTTAGTTTTTTTTATATTTTTTTATTTAAGAATTTTTTTTTGTCTTTAAATTTAAAATTCAACCCCCTTTTTAATCTTTTTGTTTTTTTTTTTTTAGCACGTCATCTTAATGAAAATTTTACAATAGAAAGATTAAAAAGAAGTTTTTTTAAGTAAGGGATCAAAAAGAGATTTTTGTAAGTAAAGGGATAAAAAAAAACTAAAAAAATTTCTTTATGACTCTTCTATTTTAAATTTTCAATAATTTAATATGTCATATGTGCGTAAAAAATAACTCAAAAATCAAAAAAGAGTTCGATTTAAAATTTTAAGAATAAAAAAAATTTTAAATAAAAAAATTATTAAAAATAAAAGGAGGAAAACAAGATTTTAACCAAAAAAGAAATCATGGAGTTTCTGAGCAACTGATTAAGAAGACAGAAAAAGTGGGCTCAATGGGCCATCGGTTTTAAATGAAAGCTCCGCGTGGCGTAACACTGCAGGGAGAAAACCAAAACCAACTCCACTGACACGGCTATGACCCGGACTGCATGATCCCATAACAAAATATAGTGGTACTAGTATAATTCTTTTTCCTTTCCTATCTAGTTGGACTGAGTGGGAAAGTGAAATCCCCGCACAGAAATCCATTACATTTTAACCCCAAACAAACCCACAGCTTTCACATGGGTTGAACAGTTGTAGTAGTAGTTTTCACCTTTTTGTTTTTGTTTTTTTTTTTACCCTCTCCAATCCCTTCTGGCATCTGCACAATCAGCTCATCACAACCCAGTTTCATTCTGAGTTAGGAATAGGACTAGGACTTAGGAGGAGAGAGCTTTTAAAGAGGGAAGATAAAAGAGAAACTTAATGAACACGCCAAACTAAGTGGAAAGATAGAAAGAAAGAAAGAAGGAAAGAAAAGTAACAGTGCAACTCTGGAATTGGCAACTCACTGTGTTTCGAAATTCGCATCCTCTGTCATAAGGTGAGTTTTTACTCTCTTTGACACTGCAACTGCTTCTTAGTTCCCCACTACATGTCCATTTCCTCAAAACTCAAAACCCATATGCTCGTTAGTCCCACCCATTAAAGCCCCCAATTCATTTCCTTTTTTCTTTTTAATCTTTTTTTACCTATTTTGCATTTTTGCTTCTAATTTCTACTTGTTTTGATTGTTGGTAGTTGATCTGGATTCCGATCATATCCCAGAAGACTTTCCGGACGAGGAAGAAAATGCTGGAATATGAGTGGGGAAATCCGTCGACAATAATGCTCTCCGGCGACCAGCCAACACAGGAGGATGACCCGGCCCGCCAGATTTTCGATTACTCGGCCGCCACAGCCAACCAACAGTCCTTCAACCAAACACTGCTTCATCACCAAAACACCGTCAACGCCAACGTCAATGCCTTTTCTCAACAGAATCACTTTCATAATCCTGCCCAAGCCCACCTTCACTCTATTTACGACCTACGCGCCTACTCCGGCGCGTCAGCTTACGGCAATCCTCACCCATCCTTGCCCTCCCTGGACTCTGTCTCCGGAGGAAGCGGTGGCGGCTACGTTATAGTCCCGAAGAGAGAGGAAATTACTGGATCGCCTCTGGACTTCACCGCGAGAATCGGGCTCAACTTGGGCCGGCGTACGTATTTCTCTTCAGCCGAAGACGAATTTGTCAACCGGCTCTACCGCCGGTCGAGAGCTGGTGATACCGTTTTGACCAACTCTCCCCGGTGCCAGGCTGAGGGATGTCATGCCGACCTCACCCACTCCAAGCACTATCACCGGCGCCATAAAGTCTGCGAGTTTCACTCCAAAGCCGCCACCGTGATCGCCGCCGGATTGACTCAGCGATTCTGCCAGCAGTGCAGCAGGTTTGAAAATTTACTGAAATGCCACTTACGTTTCACGGTAAACATAGTCGTCAATCATACAGCGTCCCTCAGGCTGCTAGAGGATGAGGATAACGATGTAGCACATCGGAATGACGGAAGTACCCCTCAATGGTGTGCGAGGAAGCCAATGATTGGTGTCCCGTATACGTGGGGTGATCCCGAGGGCATTTGTGTCCTTAAAAACTCCCTGTGCTTTCCGTTTATGTACCGTTTGCCTTTTCTACTTATAGCAGGAGAAGCTGTCATTACCCGAAAGCCGAAACCAGTTCAATGACAGAAACACCCTCCACGTAAATTCATATTTTCCGTTCCGCTCTGTACACCAAAACCGGAAAGATGACTGAGACGGGAAACGGAGATGCCCCGGCATTATTTTATTATATTTATTTATTTATTTTTTACGTTTGAAGAGTTAGCTATTTAACAATCTTTTAATATTATTCTTAAATTAAAAATTTTAAATTAATAAGTTTTAATATTACTACTATATATTATCTTAAACTAATGATTGGGTCTACCGTCGGGGGAAGGCGGTAATCCGGAGGGCATTATCGTCCGTGCGTCATATACTAGGACACTTGGTTTCGTACTTTTTGATTAATTTTGGGTTCTTAATATTTGGACAGATTCCATCTTCTTTCAGAGTTTGATAATGGGAAGCGCAGCTGCCGGAAGAGGTTGGCCGATCACAATCGTCGCCGGAGGAAATCTCTGAAACAACAGAATCAAGAGAATCAAAAATCCAAGTCTGAAACTACCGGGACTACTTATTCCACTGATCATAATCTCCCAAGTAAGCAAGCATTTGCAACGTTTTTAGTCAATACCAATTTGCCTAAACTAGCATTGATTTTTTGTTTTTATGGGCATTTTTAGAGTCCCCGCCAGATTCTGGCGTTCAGGCTTCATCCTCAGTGACTATAGCTGTGTCGCCACCTCGAATCTCGTTGGATTGTTTCCGGCAAAGAACCAACCATGCAACGGCATCATCTTCATCATCAAGTTCACTTTTTTTCTCAAATGGGTAATGAATTAAAGCACCAAAATGAAGAGGGGGGATAGCCTAGTCTCTACCAAATAACAACTTATAAATGCCTTTAATTTCCCAGAATTCAGTACTCTTTTGCATGAATTGGTGTTAGAAGACACTAACATCGATCAAAAGAGAATCTGTTTGCCTTTTTTTTTTTTTCTTTTTTTTTCTTAATATATGTTTCCCATCTATGTACCACTGTACGGGTGAAAAACTATGTACTACCATAGTAGTTATAATGTCCGGAGACATTGGATGGAGAATGTGTACTTGAATTTGGTTTTCCCAAAGCAAATGAATATTAGGTTTCAGGAAGCTGTCAAGTTAATTTATTCCTCATTTCGGGATTGATTGTATTGTTAGAAGAAACAATTCCCTGGTATATAGTGGGGCACTCGATTTGTCAATTAAGGTCATACGTTGTACAATCAATCTGTTCAATTTTTATTTTAATCTGATTATTAAAAATAATTAATATTTAAAAAAAATTAATTTTTATATAAATATTTTAAAATATTATAATTAATTATATAATAAAAAATTATAAATTAAGTAAACATAAATAAATAAATAAATTGTGTGGGCATAATAATTGACTGTGTAACCATAACCACTCTGATATAAAATAAATAAGTTAACATAAACATAAGAAATGAGGAAAGGAAATTTAGGATGGGTTGGAAGGTTTTAGAAAAGTGGAAGATTATTTCTTAATGTATAATGGTCGGAAAATAATTATGAGAACTTACAATGTAATCACTTATGATTTGAAATAATGGCATATAAAGATTTAAAATTTTAAAATATACACAGAGCGTATTCATAATTTTTGGTATGTAGACTTAATATTTCAAAATGTGCACATAAACTCTTGAAATTTGCAACAAATATAAATAATAGTTTGAAATTTCTTAAATGTCTCAAAATCCACTAACTTAAAAATATGAAAAAGAAAAGAAAATAAAAGTATTTTGAATATTTCATGTAATCTCGAGTGATTATGTACATCGAGTACAAACCTTAACCTTTTGTTTGCTTTGAGAGAAATAGAAAAAGAATAGACAACATATATCCTTACATTTTCCTCCCCTCCCCTCATTTAGTTAGACCATTATTGGCACACACTCCACCATACCACACTGTCGTTACACACTCTTTTTTTTTGTTAACTTCCGTTAACTCCCACACTCCGTTAGTCTCCATCCTCACCAAACCCATCTTCCTCCTCACCTCCATTCTCATCCTCATCCTAATCATCTGTAGGACAATTACTAGCCTCCCAAACCAAACACCCATACGATGGGAGGGATCCCACCAGTAAGATTAGCTCCACTCATCTCCCTCGCTACCTCTCCAAAAACCCCTTTGTTCAGAAGGTTACCTAAGGCAAAAATGAATTCTCAATTCTAGCGTCAGACCCCTTGTCCAAGCCGCACTCCTTCGTCTAGGAAAAACTCCAACAAGAATCAAAAGTCGATCTGGGTCCTGCAAGAACCCAAATGCAGATGCAAAACCTGAGTAGAACCCAGATTAGAGCGAAGAAGAGAAGAAAGAAGAGCGGGAGGAAAGGGAAAGAAAATCAAAGAACGAGGGCTGGGTGAAAAGGAGTAACCAGAGAAACGGAGATAAACGGAGACGAGTGAGTGTATGACGGAGGGTGTGAAGACCGAGTATGCATATATAGTTTTCCCATTTAGTTATTCAAATAAAGAAAGTTATTTCTATCCTCTCAAACCCAAAAAGTTTAGCAGTGGTTTTCAAAGCATAAATAACTGTTAAGGTCACACAAAATAGTAAGAATGTGTTTAATTTATTGGATTTTATCAATTTATAACTAATTAAAATACTTAAAAAAATTAACTTATAAATTAATTTTAAATTATTAAATAATAACTATTAATTATTCTAAAAACTAACAACAACTCATAATAAGTAAATTAGACACATTTACAATAGTTTTGTATAACCTTAATAATTGTATATGCGGCCATCAGCATGGGCTGAATGTTTGTCATCAAACAAATCAAATCTTCAGCATTGAAGAGTGAAAAATGAACAGAGCAGCTGTCCCTTCAGTGGAGGCTAGCTTGCTGGGACTATAATCAACGCTATAATTGTAACAATCAAAGTAATTGTCCGAAGTCTGTATCCACACTCATCACCATCAATCCATCGTCAGTTGTGTGGCAATCTAACAGAACAACAATGGCAGAATGGCCCCATCGGGACACTGTTATGTCCCCAGCATTAAATATTATTTAAAAAAATTAATTTATTTAATTTAATTGATAAACATTATTATTATTAATTGTAATTATAAATTAATAATTAATATTTATTAATTAATAAATTTAAATTAATTAAAAAAAACTAATATTTTTATCTACTATTTAAATAAAAAAAATTTAAATTTTAGTATTAACCAATTTTTATAGTAACAATGATCACATTTGACTCATTACTTATGGTATATCTAAACAAAAAATTGCCTTTGTATATTTGGTTATAATTATGAACACCATTAATTTTATTAAGGTCATTAAAATTATTAAATTTGTATTTTAATTTGATCATTAAAAATAATTGATAATTAATATTTATTATTTAATATATTAAAATTAATTTATTAATAAATATTTTTAAATGTTATAACTAATTATTTAAAGAAAAATATATAATAATAAAATTACAATTAAAATTAACAACATTAACGAAATCATTAACGGACATAACCTCAACTTGTATATCCCAATTTCCTTAAACTCACAAGTCACAAATGGATATAGGAGTGGAGTCTTTTTTTGTCTAATTAAAAGTACACCAATCATCACGAATTACAAATTTTATGCAATAACGTAAGTTCATATATGTATTTTTAATGTGTTTTTCTAACCATATATATAACACTTTAAAATACAAGTTAAAAATGTATTAATTATATTTTTTTTATAAATATAAAAAATAAAAATTAATTTTAAATTTATTAATTATTTAGTTAAAAATATACACATAACATTAATGTTAAAAATAATATTTTTTATTTAAAAAAACTATTATAAAAAAATATAATTAATACATTTTTAATATATATATTTTTTGTACCCGTAACTTTAATTACGTTGACCGATCTGAGTGTATCTAACTCTTGAATTCAGTCAAAATTTAAGTTGCAATAGCAGCCGTATCTCTTTTTCCTCCAAATTTTCCTATGTTAAAAAATATATATACTTACAAAAACTTTTTTTAAAAAAATTCTTGATTATTGTGCATAAACAAGAATTATAGGTACCTCCAAAACCAAAGACATGGGGAGAGTGTCACGAACATTCCCAGCTGGCTAAAGTTCTAGCTTTAATTTGTATCTATTCAATTGTCGTAGAAATCTCAAGTTCGTTTTGTTTCTTTCCCCATATTTCATTTTCCCACGGCTTTCCATGAAAATGGTAGTATATGTTGGTGAGGACTGAGGAGGAAAGCTACTTTAGATCATTGGGAAGCCTCCTTGCAACTTCGGCGAAACTTAGGCCTGTGGGACCTTCAATTCGCTTTCCCACATCAATACACTAACGTTTCTTATCCGTCATGGTAGTTAATAAAAATTAATACCAAAAATGGTTCTTTCTTCTTGTTTCTGTTCGCCTCTTCAAAAAAAACACACACACACACACATATATATATATAAATTAATATTTATTCATCTTATTTTTAAAAAATTAAGAGAAAAATAATAAAAATTATCTTAATGTATATTTTAAAAATAAGGTAATTTAATATTTTTCACTAAAAAATTATTGAAATAATGTAATTTTAAAATGATTTTTCTCTTAATTTTTAGGAGATAAAGCTGATAAGTACTATTTTCATATATATATATATATATAACATTAGATATAATTATTTTTGGCAACTCAAGTGATTCAATAATAATTTTTGTTTTATTTCAAAATTTTAATTCAATTCAAATAATTTGGAATAAAAAATCTTAAAAATTATTTTTTACCATACAACTTATTTAAAAAAATTCATGTAATTTTTACTTTTAAGAAAAGGGTTTCGAAATGTTTTTTATTTGAAAAGAAATGAAATTTGTTGTGAGTAAAACCTTTAAATTCACCCCTTAAAAAGATATAAAGATAAATTTGTCTCTC